TCGCTGAAGTTACGTAAAATGAATTAACAAACGGAGACGTAACATTATATATTTTAAGAAATATTACGATATTATTCGTGTAAAACCATGTTCAACTTTACATGATGAGCCTCAGAAAAATGATGTTCATTTTGATTGGTTTGTACAAAACCGCATAATAAGACAAGGGTGAAGTTATGTCCACAAAACCGGTTTAACAGCATTTTTATATATTGCAGACTCGAGAAACATCTTGATAGAGTGATGTTTGTGTTACTAGAGGCGTGCTTTCATCTACTTAAAGTACTCGCCATGTATATTATTTACTGGTGGCTCAAAAATAGCTGCTCATACAAGCTATTATGAAATAGTTGTGTGAATTAATATAATTACGTGTACTTTCAGAAGATGTGAGAATGTTAAGTTGTAACGTATTTTCTTCTTACAGTTGCTTAGAAACTTTGTACTTAAGAAAACAAAATCTACACTTAATTAGTGCAATTGGGGCACATGGATTGCAAACATTTAATTAATAATGACTGAGTAAATAAATTTTTGATTAGTTAACGAGTTAATTATATTTCACTTTCAGTCAGTTTGTGTACAAGGTAGTTGACAAATTTATTCTTTTTCATTTTAGCAGTTGATTCTGTAGATTAAGTAAGTTTTCACTAGCGTATTACCTTTAAAATTGGTCTTTTGATAACTTACTCTGTCATGTGAGTTACAGCATAACAATTGTAAACTCACGTGGTTAAAAGAGCGTAATTAGGATTAAGCTTTGGAGGTATAATCCACTATTCTGGAACAAATAATACCTTTAGTTAAGAACTGCTCAGAGATTATCACTCTTACTCATATACATTAGCTGGTTTTTCCACACGACTAACTACAGTTCGAAGACACTTGTCACGTGGTAAAAGTGGTTTGTTGCCATTAGATCAACGTCCTTGAAGAATTGAGCAGTACATGAAAACTCCCTCTACCCAACGTAACAAAATTGGTGAACTTCAAAATATTACGAACTGGAGTACTATTGAGAATGATGTGCTTTAAAGCATTTCATTCGTCCAGACTACTTGCTATCTTACAATATAAACTTGTTATCATTATCTGTATATTTTTTTAATTAACAAAATTGTGAATTTTAGGAGACAAGAAATGCAACAGATGGCGTACATATAGCAAAGGTAACTTCTGCTGTCAGTTTTTATTAGGTATGTGTCTGCGTCACTGAAGCGACCTTCACACCACGTACCTACGATTGGTTGCTTGGGAAAACGTTGGAGACACAGCTTGCAATCAAATGGGTTATGTAGAAATGACCTTCTGCTGATTAAGGAAAATTATATGAGGAAAGTAAATTTAAACTATTGTAAATCCCCTTTCTCTTACAGTTTAACTATTACCACCTGAGTAAACGTACTGAGTGTTAAAAGATTAAAGTAACTAATAACGTATCTCTTTTTATTACTTTATGCAATAAAATAGAAAGTATCTGAGATGGTTCGTAGACTAAATAAATTTATTAACGAAGTGGAGAATTTTAGTGGTCCAGAGGAAGTGAAAGAACTGAGACAAAGAGTGCTTAAAGAAATAGATGAAAACGACTGGTCAGGTAAGTAAATAAACAAAGTAGCTGATAATGGATAAAAAAAAGAAAAAGATGCCAGTGTTGGTGAAGTGTCACTTAGTTAATGTTAATGTGAAGTTACGGTCTACGAAGAACTAGGCATAATAAAACTTTAAAGTGGTTCTTGATACATCCTTAGTTTTGTATACTTTATTCTTCCAAAAAATATATATTCTAGAAGCCGTACCGAATTTGTATTCCAAATTAACTCATCCTTTAACAAATAGTAGGCGAAAGTCACACTTTTACGCGAAAAGTTCATTAGACATACATATTTTTACAGTATAATATATATATATTGATATTTCTGTAACGGTAAAACAGCTTCACTATGTATTCACGAATATAAACAGTTGTCCATTTGCTTTTCCTGCACCAGGTGTACTAGACTTGCAACATATTTGTTCGGAAGGCATAAGTATCTGTATCTAAATCTTCCGGATCAAACACAGCTGGGATAAATTAAAGAAGATAATCACTTCATACATTAATCCTGCTGTATGTTCAGATGAGGGTTAAAATTTAAAGTAGGAGTTAACGTTAGTTTGCTGCGTATTCAGATTGTGGTTAAGATTTAAAGTAGGAGTTACACGTTAATCCTGGTGCGTGTTCAGATGAGGGTTAAGATTTAGAGCAGAAGTTACACGATAGTCCTGCTGCGTGTTCAGATGAGGGTCAATATTTAGAGTAGAAATTACAAATTAGTCCTGCTGCGTGTTCAGATGAGGGTTAAGGTTTAGAGTAGGAGTTACACGTTAGTCCTGCTGCGTGTTTAGATGACGGTTAAGGCTTATAATAGGAGTTACGCATTAGCTCTGCTGCATGTTTAGATGAGGGTTAAGCGTTAGAGTAGGAGTTACACGATAGTCCTGCTGCGTGTTCAGATGAAGGTTAAGAGTTATAGGTTACTTCTGCTGCATATTTACATAATGATTAAGGTTTGTGGCAAATGAAAGACACATCACACACTAACACTCTAATATTGTGGTTAACTATACTTTTATCTTACAACAACTTGTTCCCCTAAATTATTCAAAAATAATAATAATTTACACATTTCTTTGCAATTGCTTAAAGTTCAAGATTCGTGTAACATAAGCGACACTCCCCGTCACACCAAACATGCTCGCTCTTTCAGCCGTGGGGGCGTTATAATGTGACGGTCAATCCCACTATTCGTTGGTAAAAGAGTAGCCCAAGAGTTGGCGGTGGGTGGTGATGACTAGCTGCCTTCCCTCTAGTCTTACACTGCTAAATTAGGGACGGCTAGCGCAGACAGCCCTCGTGTAGCTTTGCGCAAAATTCAAAAAACAAACAAACAAACAAAACATAAGTGACATCATTTTCTGTTCTACATCATTAAACAACGTAATCAAATACATCACAAAATACTAACATTCTACACTTTTATACAGAAAACTCTCCAAAAGCACAAATCACGCAAACGATATTTTAGTCGAGTTTATGTCTATAAATACCGTATAAATCATTGTACTAAAACGTAGCCGAGTTCCACTCTTCATCAGACGATATTTTCACTCCTTGAACTTTATTTTTACCATTCAACTCTTAAGCGTGTATTTACGTCTGAGAAATATATGAGGAATATCGAGGAAAAATACATAAATGTTGGTTTGACTCGTGATTATAATAATATGAATATTTCATTTGTTGTTAACAAGTGGTCGTCATTTGAAATATTGTTTTGGTTCATTATTACAAAAAAGAATTCACCCTTGAATGTGAAACTGTGGAACAGAAGAGTGAAAGTTAAACCGAAGTTCGGAATCTAGGCCAAAATAAGGAATATTTCCGGGTACTTTTTGCATTATACATTTCAACTACTTTAAAGTTTTGACCCATATCGAATACAAGTTTTGATAAAGATTTAGGTCATTGTAAGGTTGGTGATAGTTATGCCATTTGTTGTTAAAATTGTCTTGCCTAACACGTGAAAGATGGTGGTTTGTAGAAGGATAAGGCTTAGTGTAAGGTTTTTATATGTATGGATTGGCCGGAGTCTTTGCAATAGGTGTTCTGTGACTTGTTGGCGATAAATTTCAACAATAAACAAACAGTACACAGTCCACGTATTTTCAAATAATATATAAAAACAAGGCAAACTTATATATAAATGTTCGCTACAATGTTGGCTATCACGGTTGTATCCAGAGCTTTAAATAATTGTCTTTTCTTCGTCGAAATACACACAGGCTTGTTCAGTTATTTTACAACAGAATTTGACAATACGAATTATTCTTCCCGCTCTGTTATTATAATACAGTCTGTGATACTTACACTTTAAAATGATTTATGATTGTTATGAATTCCATTTCAAAACTATATGATTCACGTGATGTTCAGTTTATGAAGTATTATGATTATTATTATGCTTTGATTTCCAGGTCTGTATGATCCACAAGATATCCAATAAGTGACAGATTATGATTATTACCATGCTTTGATTTTCAGGTCTGCATGATCCACGAGATATCCAACGTGTAAAAGATTGTGATTATTATTATGCTTTGATTTCCAGGTCTGTATGATACACAAGATATCCAATGAGTGACAGATTATGATTATTACCATGCTTTGATTTCCAGGTCTGTATGATACACAAGATATCTAATGAGTGACAGATTATGATTATTACCATGCTTTGATTTCCAGGTCTGTATGATCCACGAGATATCCAACGAGTGACAGATTATGGCTATTATCATGCTTTGATTTCCAGGTCTGTATGATCCACGAGATATCCAATGTCTGACAGATTATGATTATTACCATGCTTTGATTTCCAGGTCTGTATGATCCACGAGATATCCAATGAGTGACAGATGATGACTATTACCATGCTTTGATTTCCAGGTCTGTATGATCCACGATATATCCAATGAGTGACAGATTATGACTATTACCATGCTTTGATTTCCAGGTCTGTATGATCCACGATATATCCAATGTCTGACAGATTATGATTATTATTATGCTTTGATTTCCAGGTCTGTATGAAACACGAGTTATCCAATGTCTGACAGATTATGATTATTACCATGCTTTGATTTCCAGGTCTGTATGATCCACAAGATATCCAATGTGTGAAAGATTACAATTATTATCATACTTTGATTTCCAGGTGTGTATGATCCACGAGACGTCCAGCGTCTGAAAGATGATGATTATTTCTGCAAGAGAGTCTTGAGGCACCGATCTGGTAATATGGACGCCGCTGTGGAAATAGTTAAAACTGTATTCAAATGGCGAAAAGAATTTGGTATTCATGGTTAGTATATGTTTACGGTACGGTTATCAAAAATAATATTATTTGAATATTAATAATTAGTTTATTATTACGCTCTAATAACCAAAAACAATATTATTCGAGTATAAGTGACTACTCTATACTTATAGTGTTGTAACTAAAAATAATATTACTCGAGTAATGCTATTTTTTGTTTACTAGTACATTATTATAAACTAACCATCAATACCCACCAAAAATAATATTACTCAAGTGTAAGTGATTAGCCTATGTTTATGGTGTTGTAACCAAAATAATGTTACCCGGATATTAATGGTTAGTCTACGTTTATGGTGTGGTAACTAAAAAAGTTATATTACCTGGAAATTAGTGGGGTCTTGTTTTTCTGTACGCTTCATATAATACATCATCGTTTTTTGTATGTTAAAAACTAGGCAGGTATATTTTCTAAGCAAAATACGTGTTTTAGATGCAATATGAATAAGCGAATAAAATCACGTTTATAGTTTGTTTGTTTTTCGATTTTATAAACAATTATAATGAAAAGTTTAATTTTCAATAAAGTTGAAACTTTCGTTATTTTATGATTAAATTCTTCTTTACACTTATAAATCGTTGTTTGCCTACATATTATTATTTTAGGATGTTTGTACAAAGCGAGTACACATAAGATGTTACTAATAAATTTCAATTTAAACACTTGATATTAACTCTAATGATTGCAGTAAACTGTAGAACAGTAATTGTGAACGTGAGGCGCAACTTGAATATATTGGGGACAATTTGAAAATGTTGCAATAAGAAAAAGTTTTCATTTGGGTGTGAAATTTTGGTAAATTTCTAAATTTTACATTATA